CGGAAAGTTAAGAAGGTGGTAGAGGTAAAACATTGCATCAGATCTAGTGAGGCAATATCATAGCAATTCTGGTATGCAATTGATGCATACGTAGATGCAATCATACTTATGTCGCTCATTTCAATCTACACATCTTATTGTCATAATAAGATTCTATAGTAGGATAAGTTTATTCCATTCTAATATCTACTTATACATAATAGTATCCATACTTCCACTGCACATATATTTAATAAGAAAAGGCACGTCAACTATAGCTTTTAATATTTCTGAGACATGAGACAAGAAATAAACTGGTAGAATCACACAATACTTCTCCCCGACAGGACGCTACATTCTGCACCATAACAGGTATAACATGTAATTAAACAAGCCGATTTCAGCAAATATGAAAAGTAATCAGTAACTAAGAAATCCTATCATGACGCTTAAGAAATGTTTCCTGCAACTGAACTAACTAATCACTTGGAATCATAAAGGATTCAAAACCTAAAAAGTTCAAACTTTAGGAAATAAATGAAACTAATCATTCTAATACTGAAGACTCGCCAAAAAGTATTGCAAAAGAAGTAAAAATGTGAAAAGTAAATTAAAAGTGAACATTAAAGCAGCCTAGTTAAATGCTTCTCATAGCAAAAGGTTACTTTATTAAAAGCAGTTAAGAAGAGATTTAGCAAGCTCTTCATGGTCTATTAGTTACACAAATTTAGGGTTCAAATTTTGGGATTTAAACTGAAGCAGCTTACTAGGGTTTCAAAAAGCTGAGACATACTCATGAAAAATCAACAAGATTTAATTCGAAGGGTTAATCAATATAGGGTTTTGAATTAAAAGAACAAATTTTTCAAAAATCATCACCGGAAACCTGAAAAACCGGCGAAAGATCGCCAGCGCCGGAAAAGTGTCCGATCAAATACTCGTTTCTTTATCCGACTCAGAGGCATGGAGATCCGGTTACCGATTGGTACCATTTTCTGTGTCATCGAAGGAGAATCACAAGCCTGACAAATATGTCACTTTCCAAAAACGGAAAGAACATGTCTTTTTTAAGAAAAAAGAACTTTATTAAGGAAATCCGGGACGCCGAAACCTATTTGTCAGATTTGTAATTCTCCTTCTGCTTAACAAGAAAATTGTATCAATTAATAAGACCGACCACCATTTCTAGCATCTAAGCAGGAAAAAGAAACAAGGATTGATCATTGAAAATTTTTCTAACATAAAAAGCATAGAATTTGATTGTTTTATTTATAATGGTTGGTTGCGTTTACAAGGTATGAATAAGATCTGTATACATCATAAAAAATCAAAATAAAAAAGAATTTAACTTTACCAAAGTATCATATAAATTGGCTCTTTTGTTTCTCCTAATGACTTTTTGTGATATTTATGGCAAAATAAAGTAAATTTTTTTAATTAAAAAAAAATAACTTTCGTAATATTTAGGTAAAATTGAGTACTTTATTATTTACAAAACGATAGTTTAATAACCTTAATGGAATAAAGTGAAAGTTGAGAAATTAATCTTCAGTTGCTAAATTTAAAAGAAATTATACCGCACTAGTTTTTCAATATGTTTATTATACACAACCAAAATAAAAATAATGCATGCATCCGGGCCGTCGGACCTGGATCGCCTAAAATTTTGCACATAAAAAATAACCTAAGGAACAATAGTCACTACCTCACCATGATCGTACTCGTTTTTATTTTATTTTAGGGTCATAAAATTAGAATTCAGTTCCCATTCCTAGATTTTCATGTATTATAGCCCACGCCTTCTGCATGGGTCTGAGCCACCGGACCCGGATCGCTTAAAATTTTATTGGCCCATCAAAAACGTCCTGAGGAACTATAGTCACCGCCTCCCCATAACCGTTACTCGTTTTTTGGCGTTTTAGAGCCATAAACTGGAATTCTACATGATTTCCAGATTTTCGTGTGCTTTACACGCCATCTGCATGGGGCCCGACCCACGGAACGCGGATCACCTAAAATTTTGCAGTCCCATAAAAATGATTTAAGGAACAATAGTCACCGCCTCACCAGGACCGTTACTTATTTTTTAGCGTTTTAGGGCCATAAAACTGAAATTCTGTACGATTCCATATTTTCATATGTTAGCCCACGCCTTCTACATAGGTCCGGGCCACTGGACCCGGATCGTCTAAAATTTTGTCGGCCCATAAAAATGTCCTAAGCAATAATAATCACTACCTCTCTATGACCGTTGCTCGTTTTTTGGCGTTATAGAGCCATAAAACTAGAATTCCGCCTGATGTCCAGATTTTCGTGTTCTATCTGCATTGACACGGGCCACCGGACCCGTATCGCCTAAAATTTTGTCGACTAATAAAAAACGACCTAAGGAATAATAGTCACCGCGTTGCCAAGACCGTTACTCATGTTTTTTGGCGTTTAGGGCCATAAAACTGGAATCCCGCCCGATTTTTAGATTTCCGTATACTATAGCCCAGCCTTCTGCATGGGCTCGGGCCACCAGACCCGGATAGACTAAAATTTTCAGATCCATAAAAAACGACCTAAGGAACAACAGTCACCGCGTCGCTAAGACTGTTACTCGTTTTTTTGGCGTTTTAGGGCCATAAAACTGGAATTGCGTCCGATTCCTAGATTTTATTGTGCTATAGCCCACGCCTTCTGCATGGGTCTGAACAACCGAACCTGGATCGCCTAAAATTTTGACTGCCCATCAATAACGACCTAAGAAATAATAATCACCTCCATGCTTCGTTAGATGATGTCGGCATGGAATTTTCACATGTGGGTTATTTCCTGCTAGCAGGTTAGCGGTCGCGTGGTGTTGACGAAGCATCTACGAAGAATTCTACTGGATATCCAGTAAAAGGTCGGATATGTAAATGTGGCTGGTAATTGGAGTGTTCATGAAAGGTTTAACAGAAGGATATCAAGAAATTTGGCGGGTTGATTGTGCAAGATCAGGTCGACGATGAAGAAAGAATCTTGGTCGTTACTCATTTTTTGGCGATTTAGGGACATAAAACTGGAACTCCACATGATTGCCAAATTTTCATGTAATGTATCCGCCGCCTCTTCATGGGCCCAGTCTACCGGACTCGGATCGCTTAAAGTTTTTTCGGCCCATTAAAAACGACCAAAGGAACAATTTTCACCACCTCGCCATGACCGTTACTCGTTTTTTGGCGTTATAGGGCCATAAAATTGGAATTCTATCGGATTCTTAGATTTTCGTGTGCTATTGCCCATTCCTTCTGCATGACCCATGCCACCGAACCCGAATAGCAAAAACTTTTGCAAGCCCATAAAAAATAACCTAAGGAACAATAGTCACCGCCTCGCCATGACCTTTACTCATTTTTTGGCATTTTACAGTCATACAACTTGAATTTCGCCCGATTTCTAGAGTTTTGGTGTTATAGCTCATGCGTTCTGCATGGTTCTAGATTTTTGGTGTTATAGCCCACACCTTCTGCATGGTCCCGGGCCACCATACCCGGATCACCTAAAATTTTGCCAATACATCAAAGACGTCCTAAGTAATAATAGTCTCTCTCTCGCCATGACCGTTACTCACATTTTTGCATTTTATGATCATAAAACTAGAATTTCTTGCAATGCCTAGATTTTCATGTGCGAATTCTGCATGGGCCCGAGCCACCGCATCCGTATCTCCTAAAAACTTTTCGGCCCATAAAGTATGACCTAAGGAACAATAGTCACCGCCTCACTATGATCGTTACTCATTTTTTGGCATTTTAAGACCATAAAGCTGGAATCCCGCCCAATTCTCAGATTTTGGTGTGCTATAACCCACGTCTTCTGCATGGGCCCGGGCCACCAGACCCTTATCGCCTAAATTTTTTCCAGCTCATCAAAAACGACCTAAGGAACAATATTGACCATCTCGCCAAGTCGTTACTCATTTTTTGGCGTTTAAGGGTTATAAAAATGGAATTCTGCCCGATTCTTAGATTTTCATGTGCTATAGCCCACAACTTTTGCATGGTCCGGGGCCACTGAATCCGTATCGCCTAAAAAATTTTCGGCCCATTAAAAACATCCTAGGAACATAGTCACCGCATTTCCATGACTATTACTCATTTTAGCATTCTAGCGCCATAAAACTGGAATTTTGCCCGATTTCCAGATTTTCGTGTTTTATAATCCACGCCTTCAGCATGGGCCCTGGCCACCAGAACTGGATCATCCAAAATTTTGTCGGACCATAAAAAACGACCTAAGGAACAATAGTCACCACCTCGCCATGACCGTTACTCGATTTTTGGCATTTTAGGGCAATAAAACTGGAATTTCGCCTGACGTCCAAATTTTTATGTGCTATAGCCCACACATTCTGAATGGGCACGGGCCACCGGATCCGTATCGCCTAAAATTTTGCTGTCCCGTAAAAAATAACCTAAAGAATAATAGTCATCGTCTCGCCATCACCGTTACTAGTTTTTTTGGCGTTTTAGGGCCATAAAATTGGAATCTCGCCCGTTTCCTAGATTTTTGCATGCTATAGCCCTCACCTTCTACAGGGCTCGGGCCACCGAACCCGGATTGCCTAAACTTTTTCTGGTCCATAAAAATGACGTAAGGAACAATAATCACCACCCCGCCATGATCGTTACTCGGATTTTGCATTTTAGGACCATAAAATTGAAATTCCGCTTGATTTCCAGATTTTCGTGTGCTATAGCCTACGCTTTCTGCAAGGGCCAAGGACACCGGACCTGGGTCGCGTAAAAATTTGCCGACCCATAAAAAATGACCTAAGGAACAATAGTCACCACCTCGCCGAGACCGTTACTCGTTTTTGGCGTATTAGGGCCATAAAACTGGAATTGCGCCCGATTCCCAGATTTTAGTGTTCTATAGCCCACGCCTTCTGCATGGGCTCGGGCCACTGGACTCGTACCGCCTAATATTTTGTCGGCCCTTCAAAAACGACCTA